TTTCTTTTTCTCTTTATTGGTCTTAGAGCCAGAGGAAGGGAGAGGGAGAGAGATGGAAACATCGATGACCGAGAACATGGATTGGCCGCCTCCTGCACGCCCCCTACTGGGGATCAGGCCCACAACCTGGGCATGTGCCCTGACCGGGAGTCAAACTGGTGACCTCTTGGTGCAGGGTCGACGCTCAACCACTGAGCCACACTGGCCGCGCACAAACTCTATGGTTTTAAGTAATCTCATTGAGTAGTGTCGGACAGGTTTAAAGTGAGAGGGGCTGAAACTGGGGTGAGCCGTGTATGAGAGGAAGAGTGGGTATCAGAAACCACCCCACGCAAGATCCATCCATGTGTCTGTGTATACTTCCACCCATCCACCCACTCAATGGTCCACCCATTCATCCATCCATCCATCCGTCCGTCTGTTCATCCACCATCCATCCACCCACTCACCCACCCCTTCATCCATCCACAACCCATCACCCACTCACCAATCCATCCATTCACCCACCCATCCACCCCCTCACTCAACCACCCGCTGACCCTCCTGCTCTCTGTCCTCATGGGCAGCAACACGTGTGCTCCATGCACCTGACCAACACATGTTTACAAACTAACTTCAAGGCCTCACTTCCAGCCCCTTGGCTCACACCAATCACAGCAATTCAATCTGCTACGACTCAAGTTTCCAGATCCCAGCTCACCGAGCACACCACCTGGGAAGCTGGTGGCCGGGCTGGGTTCAGGCCACGCCCACACATTCGGTGTGCGGGTGCAGACGTGGCCGGGGTGACGGGGCCCGACAGCCAGGGTCCAGTGAGCATGTCTGCGAGCCAGCCCCTCCAGGAGCTTCCCATGATGGATTCCCTCACCCTCACGGCAGCACCACCACAAACACGCCATCACTGTTCCATTTCAGAGCGGGAGCCACCGGCTCAGAGAGGCCGAGCAACTTGTCCAGGGTCACACAGCAAGGCACCGGTGGAGCTCTGGCTGCAGGCCCGTGACCCTGGATCAGCCCTGGACCCCGGCGTCTGTGTGTTCTGTGGGCTTGGGCTGCGGGCCTGCTCTCCAGACCGAGGACGGGCCCCGAGGCCGGCCCAGCGGCATCTGGAGGCTGACAAGTGAGCCTGCAGCTCAATCATAACAGTCGCTGGCAGTCACTGCCCCCAACACAGACAGCGCAATGGGCTGCGCGGCGGAAGGAGATGAAGGTAAGGCGCCCATAGACAGCCCCGTGGAACAGCCCCGTGGAACAGCCCCGTGGAACAGGCCCGTGGAACAGGCCCGTGGAACAGCCCCGTGGAACAGGCCCCGTGGAACAGGCCCCGTGGAACAGGCTCGGGTCATGGCCACGCCCCCTCCCCGCGGCGATGGACTGACTCGTGTTCCCCCAGGTTCGCAGGCTGACGCTCTGACCGCCCAGTGGGACTGGGTTTGGAGTCAGGGCCTTTCAAGAGGGAGTCGGGGTTAAGTGAGATCATGGGGTGGGACCTAATCTTGCAGGGTTGGTGTCCTCGTCAGTCGTACACGGTGGGGAAACTTTTCCTGCCCAGGACCATGTGGACATTGATAACATCATCCGCGGGCCCTACAGAATTATCAGCTCAAACACCAGCCTGCTGTCGGTCGTGTTCATTGGTGAGGCTGTGATGTGAGCTGGGTGGTTTCCAGGGTCGTATGCGGCCCATGAGCCGGACGTGCCCCCGGCCGGTAGGAAGGGACACACACAGAGGAGGCCACGGGGAGGCAGGAAGAGAGGCCTCCGGGAGCGGACGCCGCCACACCGGGGTCTGGGACCTGCAGCCTCGGCGCTGACAGATCAGCCTGTTGTTGGAACCCCAGGCGGTCACGCTTTGTCACGGCAGCCCTGGCAGAGCCATGTGACCCCCTTTCCTGGCCGTTGCCATCCGTCCCCTGCGGAAGAGAGACTGTCCCCCACCCTGTGAGTCCGGCACACCATTCCCTCCCCGCAGAACCACGGCCCATGGTGACGCCGTGCCGGCTGACCTCGGATGGCGCTGCCGTCCTGTGAAGGCAGGAGGGGCCGTGGGCACGAGGGCAGGGTTGGCACCAGCCTTGCCAGGTTGCCATGGTAACCGGGGCCAGCCACCCAGCGGCTGGGAGGGGAGGGCCCGGGTCCCAGAGCGTCACCGAGGACTGAGTCCTCCCGAGGGAACCGGGGACGACAGACAGACCCCGCAGAGCCCTATCTTGGGGGCCAGCCCAGCGTGGAAAGTGGTATTTAAAACACAAAACCACCGTTCAGAGACAAGGGCGTGGATCGGGAGGCTCCAAGTGTGTTTTCATAAAAGGGCGCAAAGGAAAGACGGGGGGTGGGGGTGGGCGTGATCCTGCCACCGCTGCTGAACAGACACGCTCGCTGGCGGCAGGCCAAGGGGTCGTCACCGGCCTGGCGTCCCGTCAGGGAGCAGCGAGTCTCCACCTCGGAAGCCGGCCCTTTGCTGCTGACACACTTGTGCTCAGATCACACTTGTGCTCGGTCACCGGCCTACATGTTGAAGAGCCCTGAAGATAACAACATGTTTTCTGGAACCAACCACGCCTCCGGTGATGCCCGGAAGACATCGGGGAACAGCGAGCCCATGCGAGCCAGCCAGGCCGCTCAGCCACGTGGCTGGCAGCTCCTGCCCCTCTGTGTCTCCCAGGGAAGTGGTCTGAGCAGGTCCCAGCCGTGGCCCTCCCTGCTGCAGGGGCATCCGCAGAGGCTGTCCCCCCTCTCTCCTGGCTGGGACATCCCGACTGTCCATGGCAGACCGTCCCCCTGCACCCCAGACCCGCCCAGTCACACTCCGTAAGCACGGCCGTTCCTTAGCCGCAGCAACTGGTCCGGCGTGGGCCGATACGGGACTCACGCCAATCCACTCGGGGCCCATCCTGGACGTCTGCTAAGCAGGCAAGAAAGAACCAGCCTCTCTTTCTGCTGCACTGGGACCTTGGAGGACATAAGCCCGGCTCCCAGGACCACCCTGAGAGATGAGCTGGACGGAGAACAAACCACCACGGAGGTTTCAGTGCCCAGAGATGGAGAGTTAGTTCCCTGGGGTTGAGGTTTGAGCACCTGGATCCAACTATGCCTGAAGCCAGCCTTCTGGCCTTTTCAATGAGATAAACTAATGAGTTCCCTTTTGGGGAGGGGAGTGTTGGGGTTTCATCTCCAATGGGAAGAATGATAATGACCAGAAGAGCCCCTGCGCTGGGACGGAGCAGGGAGGAGCCCTGGGTCAGGCGCTCAGATGGGCTTTGCACCCCAGCTCTGCCACCAGCCAGTTGTTGGTCCTCAGCAACGCAGGCCCAGACTTCCTCCTCCAAACAATAGACCCCAAGTCCGAGTTTTTCAGCTGGGTCTCAAAACCCCAGTCCTCTCGGGGGCCCGTCAGTTCTCCCGGGGGGAAGTCCTAAATAAACGGCGGCGGCACGCTGTCGTTAAAGACAAACCACTTCGCCCGGTGGCGTTTCCCTCCGGCCGGCCGGTCACTCAAGGAGGCACGACGGTGAGCTAAGGGACAGCGGTCGGCCCCCCGTTCTCACCACCTCTGGGTGGTGTCCACGCTGTTCCCTGGGGTTGATGACGCAGACTCAAACCCTGTGCCTGCAGCTCGCAGACTGTGGGACCCTGGACGGGGGCCTGTCTGCGGACCAGAGACCCGCACACGCAGGTCCCCGCGGGAAGGCCACGCAGAGCGCCTGAGCCGCAGAAGCTGCCGGGCACCCACAGAGCCGCGGCATCGCCCCACCTCATACACACCCTGAAACATTTACAGGGGCGCAGGGTGGCCCTTTGGCCTCCTGGTCAGTGCAACGCCAGGCGGCCGCCCCTCCACAGACAGCAGGCACGTGGACCTGCACTCGGCCCTGTGTCAGGAGCCCTGCAGGACACGGGACGGAGGCTGTCTGTCCTCCAGGAGCACGGGGAGGGGCACCCACGGACTAACGCCACCTCCTGCACAAGGCAGCAGTCTGGGGTCAGTTCTCAGTGCTGAGGTCAGCCAAGGGGTGAGTTATCATAAACCGGGCGCACCTGCCTCTCGTGCACAGAAACTAAAAAAGCAACGACTCCCCTCAGCCCGACCCCACACGGGCACCCCTCCGGCCGTCACGTCAATCACCGCTCTTCGAGTCACCTGCTCGGACCTGCAGAACCTGTGCACGGGGAGCCAGCAGGAAGCCAGCGGTCTGGACAGGGGGACACGGCAGAGCCGCTGGCCCCAAGGTGACCGCGGCCGCTCTGGACACACGCGCTGAGCTGGCTTCCGCCCAAAGCCAGAGGGGCAGACGCCTGGACCCCGCTCCTCCTGCGAGACGCCCACTGCTCCCCGCCTCCGACTCCCACGCTCCCGCCCGCGCGCGTGGTCTCCTAACACAGGAGTCGATTCGACCTTTCAGCACCCACTTTTTTTTTACCCTCACCTGAGGACATTTCTGCATTCATCTTCAGATAGAGCGGGGGGGGGGGGAACATCGACATGAGAGAGACACATCGAGTGGTTGCCACCCACACGACCCCAACCGGGGCCGGGAACAAACCGCAACCGAGGTGCGTGACCTCAGCGGGAACCGAACCCGGGACTCTCTGGTTTGTGGGCCGACGCTGTAACCGCTGAGCCAAACTGGCCAGGGCTTGGCACCCAGTTTTAAAACGGTTTCCGCAGGGGACGGTTTTCTTCGGGAACACCGGCCGCTTTTGCGACGACCCCCGCCTGGTCGCGTTCGGCCTGCGGGATCCTGGAGGCTTCGCGCCTCCCGCCCACCACAGCTGCCTCCTCTCTGGCGGCCAGAGCGGTCAGCCCGTTTTCTGGGGTGCACGAGCAGCCCACACTAGAAACGTTCGCACTGGTTCTGGTTTGGACCAAGCAGCGGACCACCCTGGACCTGTGCAAGGGCCCGCGTTCGGACCCGGCCCTCCTCCGGAACAACGCCCCAGCCGGTCCCCTCCGTGTCCTGCACGCCCCGCCGCCCCGGGCCTCAGAGAGGTCGGCTTACCTGCCTGGCTGTCCTTGGGCTGGCTCTGGACTTCCTCCACGCACTCGGCCGGGAACCACCCGATGTGGCCACGGGCGCTGCCTTCCCAGAAGCCCCCTTCGCCGATGCTCAGGACTAGAGGCAAGAAAAGGGTGGTGTTAAGGGCAGGGGCCGGGCTGGGGGCCTGGGGGAGCGGGGTGGGGCTGACCATGGCGGTGAGGTCAGCGAGTCGGCGGCCAGGCTCCGGTCCATTTGCCTCTGGCCACGCTTCCTTCAGCTGTGGATGAGGGGACGTGGCAGTGTCCCCGGGAGAGGACAGTGCTGACTGAGCATGTCAGCATTGCCAGGTCTTCCCAACAGACCCGGATCTGAGGGGCACCTGCAGGCTGGGCCCCGAGCAGTGAGCTGCCCGCCCGAGTGCGGCCCCGGCCACGGTCCTGCCTGTGCAGCTGCGCGCGGCCGTCCTGGCCCTTCTGGAAGGTCGGGGTGGAGGGGAGGCTGAAATGCTTAGGAACACGGCGCCATCTTCACTATGAGGCGCTCGGAACAGGTCATGGAAGTGACCGGGGGTGAAGAAGGTGGGAGAAGGTGACAGAGCCCCCAGGGACCTGCTGAAGCTCGCGTGACCCCCACGTGCAGCTGGAGCCCAGGGAGAGGGAGGCCCCGCCGTCCTGGTCTGCAGAGCTGGCGAATCCGCTGAGGCCGCGGCGGGATGCGCCGTGTGGGCGGGGCCTGAGCTCGGCGGGATGCGCAGTGTGGGCGGGGCCTGAGCTCGGCGGGATGCGCAGTGTGGGCGGGGCCTGAGCTCGGCGGGATGCGCAGTGTGGGCGGGGCCTGAGCTCGGCGGGATGCGCAGTGTGGGCGGGGCCTGAGCTCGGCGGGATGCGCAGTGTGGGCGGGGCCTGAGCTCGGCGGGATGTGCAGTGTGGCGGGGCCTGAGCTCACCATGGGCTCAGGCCCAGCGGAGGCTATGGGGAAGGCGGGATTCGAACCTGGCTTGCCCTGCTCCAGGGGCCTGCTTCCTGTCTGTGCAGGCGTCTTCTGGAAGCCGCCCCTCCAGGGCAGACAGCAGGCGTGGCTGCCACGTGTGGGTTGCCCTTCTGCTCTGCCCCGTGAGTCCTGCTGCCCCCACGTGGCCTGCAGCCCACACCTGCCCAGCTCCACGTGCCTCCTGTGGCCTTCAGCACCGCGGGCCTCGGCCGCAGCCGCCCCGTCCTGCACAGGCCCTCCTGGGGCCTGACGTGCCTCATCTCCCTGCTCAGAAGCCATCGCTGGCTCCCCAGTACCCTGGGAGCGGTCTCCCTCCGTGGCCTGGCATTCGTGGTGGCCCCGAGAACACCTTTCAACCACATTGCCTGAGTTCTGCCTTGGAAACTCTTCCCTCGACATGGTGGACTCCCTCCCTGGTCCCTGCGTGGCTCGTGCTGGACTGTCCACCTGCACATTGCTGCCCAGCTCTCAACGAGACACGTGCAAACCCAGACTGTGCCAGGACTGTGCCCACACAGCTTCTTCGTGAGGCCCTCGGGGCTTCCAGGCAGAGGGGAACCCCGCCATCGACGCCCTCGGCGGCCCCTGTCCTCCGCCGTGAAATCTCACCCCACGCGTGTGCGCGCTCCCCCCTCAGCACGGCGGGAAGCCCGAGGCTGCGCCCTGAGAATGGCTGGCGGGCACCACTCTGCCCCACCTGCCCCGGGCTCCGTATCCCCCCCGGGGGCCTTGGCCTGACCTCGCCCCAGAAGCAGAGGACGGCTGTGGACACTGACCTTTGACCCTGTCGCCGCGGTGCAGGGGGATCTCGCCGTCGACCTGGGGTTGGTATGGCTTGACGACGACGAAGAGCCTCCCCGGAACCGCACTGTACAGCTTCCGCTTGGGCCCCGGGTGCTCGAAGGCAGAGCGCGCGTCCTTGTTGGCACCAGAGGGGAAGGCCGGCCTGGGAGGGCGGGAGCAGAGGAGGGGGTCACGCCTGAGACCAAACGGGGCACGCTGCAGACCTGCGGCCGGTTCATTCCCGACGACGCCACGTCGGAGCAATCCTGCCGCAGCTCCTGACGTCAGCTCCCGGTTTCCGATGGCGCGAAAGACGTGAAAGGGCCCTGGGGCAGTGTTCGGGGTGAAAAGACTCAAGCAGATCCAGTAATCCCCTCCTGGGCATATCCTATCCCCAAAGAAGAGAGCAGGCACTCAAACAGGTGTCTGCACACCCACATGCACCACGACATCAGTCACAGTAGCCAAGACGTGGAATGGACACAAAGACTGGAATGAATACAAAGACGACCTGGAATGGATACAAAGACCTGGAATGGATACAAAGATGTGCAGGGGATACAAAGACCTGGAATGGATACAAAGATGTGCAGGGGATACAAAGACCTGGAATGGGTACAAAGAACATGGTCCATCCACTCCATGGAATAGTATGCAGTCTTAAAAAGGAAGGACATCCTGACACCTGCTACAACATGGGTGGACCTTGAGGACATTATGCTGAGTGAAATAAGTGTGGTTTCACTCATAGGAGGTTCTTTAAAAAGCCAAATTCATAGTAGAAAGCGGGATGGTGGGTGCTGGGGGCGGGGCGGGAATCAATATTTCATGGGGACAGAGTGTCAGTTTGGGAGGATGGGGGGTTCTGGAGAGGACGGTGGGGCTGCACAACAATGTGAAAGTGTTCAATGCCACTGAGCCGTGCCCCTGAAATAGCTAAGATGGTCAGAAACAGCCGGATGGGATTCCAACCGCGGTGTTTGGTACGAGGGTTCATTCACTGAATTCTCAGTATCCGAACATGTGGGGTAACGTGGAGGAGAGAACTGAATCATTTTGCAGCCAACCTGGGTAAACAGGGACCTGCCTGCACATTGACTGTCTCCATTCATCCATCTCCAGTCACATCCATCAATCCGTTCATTCATTGGGCTGTCTTCATTCATTCATGCTCCAGTCACACATCCGTCTGTCCATCCATCCATCCATCCATCCATCCACCCATCCATCCATCCATCGGGTTGACTTCCTCATTCATTCATTCCCGTCACCTACATATCCATCCATCCATCCATTCACTGGGCAAGTGTTTGCGGGTCGGCAGACGCCAGTGAACATGAGACGAGCTTGGGCCTCACAGGCAGATGGACAAGTGGGGAGACCATTTTCTACCTGTCTGATGGGTCGGCACAGAAGCCAGGGTGACTCGGGAAGAGGCTGTAGGCTGTAGGAGAGTCTCTGCAGGGATGTTTAGGGCAGAAGAGACACCCCAGAGACCAGAGATATGGCTGGGGGGCACTGGTCACCTCGGCTGCAGTGTGAGGGCTGGACTGGAGCTGAGGAAGGCTCGGGGCCGGGGAGCCCTGTGGGCAGGGCTGATGTGCAGAGTGACTGCAGAATTCTCAAGAGGCACAGCTGCCCGGGCCTGGGGACCTGCTAGAAATCCGGGGTCTCCCAGGTTCCCGGCTTGCACAGAGGATGGGAGGGAGGCTGAGAGATGTCGGCTTGGGGCTCTGGCAAAGGGTGGCATATCTCATACTAATGTCCCAAGCCCTGACCACCCTCTGACAGCTGTGTCTTAGGCATAAGAGCTCAGACCCCACGTCACCATCTCCCACGTGAGCACCCTCAGCCAGCACACCGCTCCCCACCCCCGTGGGCTTCCAGCTGTGGCTTCGGCTCTGATGTCCTGGTGACAGCGTCCGGCACTCCGCCCCTCCCCCTGAGGTCCTGAGGAAGCACAGCAGGGATGACCAGTCATCAGGACGCCCCCTGCTGGCCGCCCTGGCTGGCTGGGGCTTGCATGGGCTCCGCAGAGGGAGCCGCTGGGACTTGGGAACGGAGATGCCATGGCACCGCCAAGCAGCGCACCGGCTGGCGGCCCCCACGCTCTCCTCAGTGGCCCGGCCCTGGCGCTGGGCTTCTGCTCCCTTGCGAGCACCAGGCCACCCTGGCCTGGCGGTGGAACTGGATCCGAAAGGCTCTGGGCGGCTGGAATCTGCCTTCTACAGCCCTTCCGGGAGTGAGAGGGCCCCTGAGCCCCTGCGGTGAGGGACGGTCCGAAGGGGCCCTCTGCTGGCTGTCTGCTGGGGCCAGAGCAGACCCCGCCCTCCCTGCCACCCAGGCGCCCCTTCTCCACCCGGGGCGCCCCCTCCTCCAGGGAGCCCTCGCCTCCCCGTGGGTGTCTGAACCTTGACTTGTGTGAGCTCGGGCTTGGGGGCTCCTTAGGGACGTGTGGCTGTGTCTACGCTACATCGACCCCGGGGCTGACACGTCCCGTCCTGCCTCGGGAGAGGGACGTGGAATTCAGCCCGCGTGGTGAGTGCCCCGTGCACACGCTCATGAGGCCAAGTAGGACAGCAAAGCCTGAATGTCCCCAAACATGGACAACGTGACAGGGGTGACATGTGGTGCCTACACCCTGATTCCTCAGCACCAAGGGGCACCTGCTTCCCCAGGGTGGGCCCCCTTCACCCAGCCCACCTCCCCCCAGGTGGCCGGCAGCAACCTGGGAACCTGGCTCCTCATCGAACCCCCTACTCCTGGTCCCCCAGTGACGTGCCACCTGGGTGGGGGCCAGGCAGGGCAGCAGTCTAACTTCGTACCTGGCCCAGGCTACACCGGCCTGGCCCCTGCCCTGCCAGCGAGGCCCAGACCGGGGTCAGACCGGGCACAGGGGAGGAGGCAGCAGCCACAGAGGAAGCCAGGTCCCTGGTCCGCGTTCCCCAGGAGCCTGGGCTCCAGCACCCCGGAACCTTCCGGAACTCCTGACCCACTCACTTGCACAGGAAAGGGGAACTATGAGTTCTGAGGTCCGAGGCTCCACCTGGAAGGTCCTATTCTCTGTGCAACCTGCACCTGAGCTGGGCGCTGGCCTGGGTCGGGTTTCTTCCCGCTGCTCAAGAGGCACAGCCCTGACTCGGGGGGCTGGAGGGGCTCTGCTAGTTTTATCCACCCGAAATCCCAATGCCCGCGTGGCCTCAGCTTCCCGCAGCTCAGATGGAAGACAGACCTGCCTCAGCCCCTGCAGTCTCCGCCTGGGCACAGGAGACTCCCAGCCCCGCCCCTGCTGTGGGGAGCGGGCGCCGCTGCCCCCCGGACCCCGAGAAGCAGGAGGCTCAGGGACACAGCCAGCGAGCCGCAGGTGCATCTGAGCGCCGCCCAAACTCCAGAGCACGCGTCTTCCCACGTTCCCGAGCCCACCCCACCCAGGAAACGCTCATTCAATGCAAGGGGGCCCCAGGCCCCAACTTTGCAAAAGTACAAGAGCTCTTCTAAACCTGACCAGTCAGTCTGCCCCTGGGTCGCTGGGAGGGGTCTCGGGAGGACCCTCCTCCTCTCCACACATGGGTGGGGGGGATGGGCAGGCGAACAGGGTCAAACCCATCCTCAGGCCTCCTTAGGGACATGAACCGGCCACGCCAGTGGGCGCCACTAGAGGGCGCACGTCCGGCGAGCCTAGCAGCTGGGGCAGGGTGCCAAGACTCTGCTTGCTACAGGGACCTTGGTCCCACAGGTCCTGCACAGGTTACCTCTTCTGCTTGGCCCTCGGGTCAACTGGCCGTCTGGCCCAGATGCTGCTCCACAGAGGAGGGTGACCCTGACCACAGAGCCCCAGCTGGGGAGGGCGGTGGTCCCTTCCCACCAGGGAGGCCTCAGCTCCCTTCCCACCAGGGTTTGGTTCTGGCGACAGTGACGGGCCCCTCACATTCCTGGCTGAGGTTTCTGGGGCCCCCCGCCTGAGAGGGTGCTGGGTGGCCCGCCGTCCCCTCGGGCAGCGGCAGACACAGGCGGGGCCCAGGTGGGGCGTGCTGCCTGCTCAGGATGCTAAGTCTCCCTCATCCCGCTGCATGATGCTCTCCACCTCTGTCCCTCAGCCAAGCCGGGACCGTCACCCAGACGGTGGCACCCAACACCCAGCGGCCAGAGGGTCCTCCTGAGGTGTCCCTGATGGTTTTGACAGCAAAGCGTACGTAGCAAACATTTCTGTCGACCTCATTCTGAGCCAGACGCGGGCTCTCAACACACACAACACGGAACGGGGTTCGGTTCAGCCGGGCCCACCGCACGCAGGAGAAAACTAAGTCACAGGATGGTCGTGTGACTTGCCCGGAGTCACACAGCGGGCGGGAGCAAAGCCGGGTGCAGCCAGCGGTTCCGCGCGGGGTCTGCACGGGGGTCGGGGGCGGTGGGGCAGCTACCCCCTGAGACAGAACCTGGAGGTGGAGGGGCAGGGGGTCACAGGGCCTTCTCCTCGGTGACACGAGCAGCATCCTCACCCAGCCCCAGATCTGTGATCACCAGAGAGGGCTCTGCGTGTACCCTGGGGCACCCCGAGGCCTAGAACCAGTGACCTAGGAAGGGGTTGGCTCCGAGCTGTGAGGGCAAAGCCGGAGGGGAGGGGTCCAGCCACCTCCCTGAGCCCCCGAAAGGCCCAGGGCCATGCTGTGGGACTCTGAGTGCTGGCACCCCATCACTTGGGCACCTGTGACCTCCCCGCAGACAGCCTGGCCTACCGCTCCAGGGCCCAGCATTATCCTCGCCTCCCGGGGGCAACCAGTGTGCCAGCGGGTCCCCGTCAGGACAGGGCACCCGAGGAGGACGACACAGCCCTTGGGGCTATGGCCACAGCGAAGCGACTATCACGAAGGGAGCTCTGGATCCTGAGATGGACAGGGGACAGGCAGGCTGAAGGGGCGGGAAGGAGGCTGGGACCACGGCAGAGGGGCCGACTGACAGCACGTCCCTCAGCAAGGCAGGTGCCGGCTGGGCCAGGACAACTCCCGCGAGGGGACGGGCAGTGGGCCCCGGTCAGCACCTGCCGGCGTCCGCACTGCAGCCCTGACCCCGAGCGAGGCAGGTGGCTGGTCGGCTGCCCACTGCTCTGTCACAGGGCGAGCCTGCCAAGCACCCGGCCTCGGGCTGGGCACGGGTCTGAGCTTCCCCTAAGGGCCAGCGTGGACGGGGCGCTCCTGTGTGCCGGGCCGGCCCTGGATGCCTTCACTACGGCCGCAGCGCAGCCTGAAGCCAGCCTCTTTGTGACCCTTCTTACGTCACCAGAGCTGAGGCACAAAGGCCGTGACCCACAGGGGAGCCCAGAATGTGTGCTCAGGGGGCCCTGGCAGCAGGACAGGGCGTTGTGATTCTCTCTCTCACACACACACACACACACACACACACACGTGCAACCCAAGCACATGCAAACACACACTGTGCATGAACACACACATTGTGCATAAACACATGAACACACACATGCTGTGCATGACTACATGAACACACACACACACTGTGCATGAACACACACACACGCTGTGCATGAACACACACACTGTGCATAAATCCACGGACACACACAGGCTGTGCATGAACACACACACTGTGCATAAATCCACGAACACACACAGGCTGTGCATGAACACACACACTGTGCATAAATCCACGGACACACACAGGCTGTGCATGAACACACACGCTGTGCATAAATCCACAGACACACACACACACTGTGCATGAACACACACACTGTGCATAAATACATGAACACACACACTATGCATAAATACATTAACACACACACTGTGCATGAACACACACGCTGTGCATAAATCCATGGACACACACACACTGCATGAATACACACGCGCTGTGCATGAACACACACACTGTGCATAAATACATGAACACACACGCTGTGCATAAATCCATGGACACACACACACTGTGCATGAATACACACGCGCTGTGCATGAACACACACACTGTGCATAAATACATGAACACACACACTATGCATAAATACATTAACACACACACTGTGCATGAACACACACGCTGTGAATAAATCCATGGACACACACACACTGTGCATGAATACACACGCGCTGTGCATGAACACACACACTGTGCATAAATACATGGACACACACACACTGTGCATGAACACATGCACACACTGCATGAACACATGCACACATTGCATGAACACACGCACACACTGTGCATGAACACGCACACACTGTGCAGCCGTGCACACAGCACTCACAAGCACACAGATTCTGCGTGCACACACCCGCATGCACATCGCCCAGGCAGGCAGGGACGGTCAGCCAGGCCCCGCCCTGTGCCCAGCGGCCCTCCCCCCTCACGAGCACTATGTTCTGGCAGCTTCCGCAGGCCCCGGCCACACTGCCTTGGCATCTCATTAGATTTCACACAGGAGGAAGGGGACGCACTCCTAAAATTGTAGTCGTAATTCTAGCGAATGGTGTGAAGTGGAGTTTTCTGCCTCGAGGGAATCCTTTAATTTAGCTTTAAACTGTTCTTAGCACCTGGGACGTCTCCCTCGGGGTGACTCAGAGCGAGAATCTAGACCAGAGCCAGCGGCTGCATCTTCCCGTTCAGAGAATGGGGCTCGGTGGGAAGTGAGGCTGGAGCACCGCTGTGGGCTGGGGGTGGGCCGGCATCCAGAGGTCCGCCCGCGGCCCGAGGAGGGCAGGGGACAGGCTCCCCCCGGCAGGGCCTCTCCACACCCTCTGCCGCCCCTCTCCAACCACACGAAGTACCGAGCCCTCCGCCCAGCCCCTGCCCGAGCCCCTCCCCACGCCCCATGTCAGCTGGGGCGGGGTGGGGAACCCAGCGCCCGGGAGGAGACATCAAGGGGTCAAGGGCGGTGGGGGGGTCGCGTGGCGACACTGAGTGCCAGGCCACAGCCCCAGGCCACTGGGAGGCGCACGTCCACCGGCCGTCCCGGGCACCGTAGGGGAAGGCAGAGTTCCGGGGGGACACCCTCACGAACCCTGTCGCACACTCAGGCACCTGGTCAGTCCTGTGCTGGCTACATGCTGGCCGTGTGACCCCAGCCTCAGGCCTGTGGCCGGGAGTAGGAAGGTGTGGTACCCTCACAGGCACAGTGCAGGACAAGGCCCGGAGACCGAGAGTGCCCGGGACAGGCTGCCCGTGTAGGTGCACCCCGTTAACAGTGACGGGCGGTTGCTGGGTGGATGCACAGGCCCCGCCCCCGGGAGCCCGTCCTGGCCTGGGACACCCGGAGGATGGGTGACAAGGTGCAGACCTGCCTGGGAGTTGGAGTTCTGGGTGCCAAGGCAGCCCCCGGGAGGCGGGGACGGGCAGAGTGGCGGGAGCCAGGCACCCAGCGGACCAATTTCAGGAGTGTGTCCCCTTCGTCCTGTGTGGAATCTAATGAGATGCTCAGTTGGACCTACACTGGCCTGTGTCCTCACAGAGAGAAGGGACAGGAAGGGCTGCAGCCCCTGGGCACTGCTGGGCTCTGCGCTCTCCCGCCCACCGGCCCGCTCGGCCTGTCTGGCCACCTGCCCAGCTGAGCATTTGTCCCGGCCGAGGTGCGTCCCCCACGGGGACACGCATGGGTGGGCTGACGGGCACCTGGAGGGCCCTGAGCTGCCTCCGTGTGCCCAGCACTTTCAGGGACCCGTGGCCGATGCCGAAGGAAGGCCAACGAGGTCCTCGGCCCCCCAGAAGCTCCGAACACCAGCCTCCGGAGTGGCCATCGCCGGCTCACGCTCAGGAAATGACCCTGGGGACAGTCTGAGCGGCGGCAGGGGGAAGAATTCAGGTCTTACCGTGTCTCACCACCCGGAGAAAATGAAACGGGCATCATGCTCAACCACGGGCCCCGAGTTCTAGAACCAGCCGTGTGGTACCCGAGGGCCTTCCTCTGGCCGGGCCGCACAGGAGCCCCCCAACTCCACACCCGTCCCTGCCCCCCGGCCGCTCCTTACCCCACGTGCCAGGGCTGCTGGGGCCTCCTGCCGTCATCGCCGGCACCTCCGAGCCTGTTGAGCGACGGGGACCGGCTGCGGGGCCCGGGGATGTAGCTGCCGATGGTCCTCAGGGCGCCGTCGGCCGTGCCGGGCACCTGCTGCAGCAGCTGCGGGGACAGGCTGCGGTGGGAGGCGGCGCACACGGCCCAGTCGGGCGCGCTGGAGTTGAGGTTGTTGTCGCTGTTGGAGCGCAGCAGGACCCGGGGGGCGGCCAGCGTGTTGGGGGGCCGCCGCCTGCGGTTGGAGTACGCCGGGGCCTCTCGGAAGGGCACTGGGGTGGAGAGAGCGGAGAGGCGGGTGAACGCGCTGGCATCGTGGGCGTCGGCGGGCACACGGGCGAGCAAGGGCGCCGTGCGTGCTACGCCGAGGCCTCCCCGCGGGCAGAACTCACCCGACACGGAAGCACAGGCAGGCGGGGACCGAGCACGTGCGCACTCCACAGAGGGCCAAGCCTACGCTTGCCATGGAAGGGACGGACTCGGTCCGACTTCCATCGGGCCAGCGCCCTGTTGCTGCAGTCCAGAGACACACGGGAGGACGGCCACCCATCTCCCCAGGCGGTCAGGACACCGAGCCCCCCCGGCCAAGACCTGCACTGGGCCCTGGGTGTGGGCTGAAGTGTGTTGAGCCCTGGTCCCCGAGAGCTCGGAACGTGACTGCACGTGGAGACAGGTTGCTATAGAGGGGGTTCAGGTACGATGAGGCCCCTGGGGTGGCCTCATCCAATGGGACTGGGGTCTGAAGAGATCAGGACACAGACACGCACAGGAGCACCCTGGGGGGACTCAGGGAGAAGTCGGCCGTCCAAGCGCCCAGGAGAGAGGTCTGGGAGGAGCCAGCCCTGCGACCCCTGGACCTCGGGCTCCAGCCTCCAGGACGGGACAGGACGTGTCTGTGGTTAAGCCCCCGTCTGCGGGACTGTGACCGTGGCCCCAGGTCACTGACGCGGCCGTCAAACCCGCTGGGTGGAGTCAGTCAGCTTCACCCTGAGCGCGCTCCGTTCTCACCGTCAAACGGGGACTCAGCCGCGTGAGACAGGAGGTGGGCACCCTCGTCTCCCTCCTGCTCAGTTCTGGGCTAGAGGTGCGGCCCCCACGGCCCAGGGACTCAGAATGGCCCGCTGCCCGGGACGGTGAGGGCCGGCCGGGCAGGACGGAACCAGGAAATGCCTTTTCCAAAAGGAAGCGTCTAAGGAACAGGCTGAGGGGAAGTGAGATGCCAGTGACCCCAGGGCCAAGGACGCAGGATCCCTGTGCGCCCGACGCCCAGGCAGCTCCCCCAGCCAAAGCCCTGCAGGCGGGGCCAGGGCTCTCCACAGGCGGTGCGCAGGGTTCAGGACAGAGTCCTGGACGGCAGGGTCCTGGACAACCAGCCCGGCTGCCACGTCAGAGGCTGCAGAGGGCATTGCATGGACCCCGAGGGGAGCAGCGCCCTCCCAGAGCCTGCCTGCCCACAAGGAGGCCAAGCTCGGGGGACAGAGGTGGCCGAGCTCGGGGGACGGAGGTGGTGCTGGCCGAGCTCAGGGGGACAGAGGTGGTGCTGGCCAAGCTCGGGGGACGGAGGTGGTGCTGGCCGAGCTCAGGGGGGACGGAGGTGGTGCTGGCCGAGCTCAGGGGGGACGGAGGTGGTGCTGGCCGAGCTCAGGGGGACGGAGGTGGTGCTGGCCAAGCTTGGGGGACGGAGGTGGTGCTGGCCAAGCTTGGGGGACGGAGGTGGTGCTGGCCAAGCTCGGGGGACGGAGGTGGTGCTGGCCAAGCTCGGGGGACAGAGGTGGCCGAGCTCGGGGGACGGAGGTGGTGCTGGCCGAGCTCAGGGGGGACAGAGGTGGCCTAGCTCGGGGGACGGAGGTGGTGCTGGCCAAGCTCAGGGGACGGAGGTGGTGCTGGCCAAGCTCGGGGGACAGAGGTGGCCGAGCTCGGGGGACGGAGGTGGTGCTGGCCGAGCTCAGGGGGGACAGAGGTGGCCTAGCTCGGGGGACGGAGGTGGTGCTGGCCAAGCTCGGGGGACAGAGGTGGCCGAGCTCGGGGGACGGAGGTGGTGCTGGCCGAGCTCAGGGGGGACAGAGGTGGCCTAGCTCGGGGGACGGAGGTGGTGCTGGCCAAGCTCGGGGGACGGAGGTGGTGCTGGCCAAGCTCGGGGGACAGAGGTGGCCGAGCTCGGGGGACGGAGGTGGTGCTGGCCGAGCTCAGGGGGACAGAGGTGGCCGAGCTCGGGGGATGGAGGTGGTGCTGGCCGAGCTCAGGGGACAGAGGTGGCCGAGCTCGGGGGACAGAGGTGGCCAAGCCCAGGGACAGCTGTGACCCAGTGCAGCCGTCGCCCCCTGCCTGGGAGGCAGGAGGCGGAGATGGAGCCCCCCACCCCCAGGAACGGCAGGAGGCTTCCAGCAGACACTGAGTCCCAGTCTGGCTCCGCACCGTTAAGATGGGACGTGAACGTGGAGGTCACATTGTTCCTAAATAGGCAGCCGCGCCCTCGTCCCACCACCGCCCCTGGGAATCCTCTCTGCCCAGGAACGTGTGCTCCGGTGGTGCCCAGGGCTCCCGGCTGGGCCGGTGCCCTCTCTCCACTCCTCAGAGCTCAGATCTCAGAGGCCCGCCTGGCCGGCAGGGACGGGGACCGGGAAAGCCCGCCGGCCCCTGGGGCGTCAGCCGCGGCCTTTCCCCACCTCCCAGGGAAACGTCACTTTGGGGAAAAGTCCCCGAGTTGGCGTGTGCTGGTCACAAGGGAGACCCACACGGGGGTGTCACTCCCTCGGAGCAGACAGAGGCCGGAAGGACTCCGGACGACTGAGTGTTCGTCATCTGGGTTGGAAAATGCGCCCGGTGGGTGCTTTGGGGTGACCCGAGACCGGCCTGGCACAGGGCTGGGGGCGTCTGTCGCTCCGAGAGGCCGGCTGCAGACCGTCGCAGAGAGAGCCGACCTCTGCACAGGCACACCCGGGAGAACGCGCCACCGAACCCCAGCTTCTCAAGTCCTCTTCGCCGTCCCCCAGCCCAGGAGAGGCCCAGTCGGGCCAAGCGCGGGGAGGGGACCCCAGCTGCAGGGAACCCCCCCGCCCGGGAAACGCCTGCTCCCGGGACGCCCGGCCGATGCCGGCTGGCTGTCTCCTGACCCTGCAGCGGGCAAGGTGTAAACCCCCTCCGCAGGAGTGAGGGAATCTGGGGGAGTCCTGCTCACGGCTGAGAGAACTCAGAAGGGAAGAAACCGCTACGAAAACACAGGCGCAGTCCGAACCGAAGCCCCCTCTCCCCAGCGGAAATGCCCACGCGGATCCCAAAACCGGAGTCCCGGAAAGTGAATCTGGGTTAATAACGTGAGAACGTGAAGGCAGACGGAGGCTGCTTTTTATGTGAATTCCTGAGAAACAGGCTGCGGGGGCCTCGGAGGGGGGCCGGGAGGGCGGCCAGAGCCCACACGGGGCGCCCGCCCCCGGAACACGAAGGCATGAGCAGCGGAGACGGTTCCAAATCGGCGCTGCCCGAGCCCCCGCCAGCCACCAGGACGCAATCACACAGGTGCCGTTGGGGGGAGCCTCCCAGTGGAAACCATCTCGCTCAGACCCCAGGACTCACGGGAAACCAGTGTCCTGTGCAGTTTGAGTGGAAATGTCCCCCCTGTGAGCCCGGCCACGGATGGCGTGGGCTGGAGGTGAGTCCCCGATTCCTCCGGACTAGCGTCTTCACGGACCTGGACCAAACCAGAGCTGTGTGACAAAGGCCCGGAGCCCTGCCAGGGTGTGCATGTGCGTGTGTGTGTGTCTGTGTCTGTGAGAGAGAGAAAGGGGTTAAAAATAACTCTTTTCCTGTCTGGTGGTGATTAATATTCCTCCCAACTGCTTCCTTCTCGCAGGCAATCTGCAAACTCCAAGTGGGAGGGTGTTTTCTTCGCCGTCTTACATGCGCTTATTTATACATTTTCCCCCCACCATAAAAAGGACACAAGGTGTGACAAACAGTGTGTGCACTTTTAGAGTCCCCTGCGAGGCATTTGCCACCCGCCCCAGCAGCCCGGGGACAGCCCGGGGGAGCCGGGAGCCGTTCCTAGGCTGCCCGCTGCCCGCTGCCCGCTGCAGCCGCCACGGGTCCTGACCTCCCTTAGCCGGGGCTCGGCAGCCTCCAGGCAGCGGACACACTAGAGCCCAAACTTCCTCGTCGTCCTAGGACGTGGCCCCTGACCTGTCCTCCAACAATCAGCGTGGACGCACATGCTGAAGGCCGTTCTGCAAGGGGCTGAAGGCTCGGGGACAAAAATAAAACCCGGCGGCACCTCCTCGTGGGTCAGGGTGCCGGACCAGGGGGCGAGGCCCTTGCAACCCAGGGGAACCACCCACAATTTCAGGAAGAACCGGAGGCACCCCCCGCCCCCCGAACCCGTGCGAACGGCTCACCCCCAGGCACTGCGCTCCCCACGGCCCTTCCTTACCTTCCTTCTTGGTGAAGGCATTTAACAAAGACTTCATTTTCCCTCGGGCTGGGGTGGCCGGCCGGCGCTCATTATAGAACCTTCTTGGACGGGGAGAAGGCGAGGGGTGCTGGCCAGCCCCTGGGCGCTGGAGCGGCGTGGACCCGGGGAGCGGCGGCGGGCATCTGGGCACGGCGCGCCTGGCAGCATCGCTGGGCATGCCAGACCCGGCGTGCTGGTGACAAAGCCCACCCCATGTCTGTCTGTCAGCGGGGACCCAACTGCGCGGAGACGGGGCCTCGCTCAAGCCCTGCTGCCTCTCGCCGGGCCCGTCATGTGAGCAGCGCTACTCTGCCTTTGTGTGCGGGGAGGGGGGCGGGCGCCTGGCATCCTCGGGCCAGCGCCCGGGAAACTCGGGAGGCGCTGCCAAGCCCGAGCCCGAGTATCTCAGGAAAGCCTGCCGCTCGGCCACCCCAACATGCCCGGGGCTAAATATAACGCACGGCGCTTTCCTAAAAATTCAGAAGAAAAAGCCAAGTTTCCTCTAATGCGGCTGGCTCGGGGGCTGGCAAAGGCAGCGAGCAGGTCCCAGGCTGAAGCACCCCCGATCCCGGAGCCTCGGGCCGGCCCGCGTCCCCGGGCGGCCCTCCCTCGCCTCGCCGGCTCTCGGCATTTCGACTCGTGACCCAGATTCCTTTCAGCGGAATCAGACGCGAGTCCCCATTCTGTGCTGCCCCCCTCCGCACCGTGGCACCACCCCTGGAGAAATCAGAGCCCCCCGCCTTGTTAAAGGAGACAAGACAATTAAGTGGGAGGGCTTGCCCTGATTCCAGGCGGCTGACAAATGAGCGTCCCCGTCCCGAGTCACTT